CGTCTTGTTTGAGAGTAGATGTGACAGATTTGCGTAGAATAGGGTAAGATGTTATCATGAACGGAGATGAAAGGGCTTTTCCAACACGGAGATGTAGCATGGATCAAAGCATTTGTTGGATTTCAGCTTTTACAAGAGGACATCAACGCAGTAGTATTTTAGCAAGCTTACGAACGCATATAGGATACCATCAGGATTGCCATTGGTTTTATTTCAAGTTGAAGAGGAGATATTTTTACGATGTAAATGGCAGTAGAAATAAGTCCTACATATGTTGTTGTACTTCGTATAGGATTAATATTCATGTAGAGTATGAGACATTAAGCGAAAGTTTTCTGAGGTACATCTGCAATTGTCGGAAGGCAAAAATAAAAAAAATATATATATATATATATAAACAGTCGTCCCGGTCGCTGCTCAGTCATTCAGCCACACTAAATACCTTCAACGCCGTGGCCTACGCCAAGTACTTGAAGGATGTCGCAACAAAACACGCTTGATACGTAAAAACGTATTGACCAAAAGAAGATGATGCCGTTTGTTTCTGATGACGCACACTGCACATTTCGTTCACATAGGCTGTCATAACGAAAAAATTCATTTGAATCCCTGCATGATAATTCGACTATATCAAACCATATTCGAGCAAGTGACAAGAAATGAGCAATACAGAAAAGCAAGACGGCGAACTGGTGGAGAGAAGAGAACCACCCATGGTCGAACATGGCGCATGTGTAGTATGGTCGTGCATCGGCGTACCGTATGCGCTTTCGTCGTATGATGACTTATTGGCTCTATTACGGTCCCATTGGAAATTCACTCGGCCAAAACACATTCTCACTACCAAACCACCTCTGGAAATGAACATGATGCCGTTGGTTGGTGCCACGCCGAACCTGACATTCGACTGTTTTTTCCGGCATTGTTCAAGAAGGCCAAATGAGCGATCAAGGCAGGACCACAGAAGACGAACCGATCAAGAGGCCTAAGCGCATAATCGACGCACACTTCTAGCGCAACATGCAACTCGCCTTTGCTCGTCGTACTATCGATGAATATTGGCACCATGTCGCAAAGGATATTACCTCGGCGCAAACACACTTTCATTTACCAAGCCACCACCTGAAAAAAAGAATATTTGTCGTTGGTTGCGTCCAAGCTGACTTTCTTTGAGGTTCGGTTTTTGACGACGGTGTTGCTCGAGAAGCCACAAGGAGAGATCAAGACAGGAAGACAAAAGGCGAACCTGTCAATAGGACCGCAACAGGGTGCGTCGTCAAACACTTCTGACGCAACCAACATTTCGCGAGACGCGCGCAATAGGTCGATATCGACCTTTGCGACACTGTCGGGCAACGGTGGGGGAATCGGGAAAATAGGGGGCAAACAATTGAAATAATGTTGGTCGGAGAGAATCAAGCTTTGCTTCACAGTATCAGGAGAGGTGAGATCCATTTCTTAGAAGTGAGTGACATGACTCCGAAGTTCATTAAGCGAGGGGGGCGGACAGCCCCGTCAACCCGAGAGTCCAATTTTCCGAGATATTTTGCAAAAATAGCAAGAGAAGTGCGATTCAATTCTCAAATATCATCTACAAGAGGAGAAGCTAGATTCATAACTCCGAAATTCATTGCGCGAGGGGGCCGGAAAGCCCCACCAAACGACTTGATATTCATTAAAATATTCCGACACTGTTCCTACGATCACAGGAGAAACTCATAATCATGATTTTAGAACTTAGGATCAAGAAAAAGATTCATTTTTTCCTCAAAGGTTCCAGACGATCAAATCAAGAGCGCCGCAGCAAAACGGCGAAGTGGAAAGGACGGGGAAATGAATTGTCGCACACTTTGTTGGGTCTGCTGCTGCGCGCGGGCGGGCGTGAACTCCGGCGAGGGGGCATGGCTCGCGATATGCCCTATCGAGGCTTACTCAAGATATCGCGAAGAAACGTGCTTCGTTGTTGACATCGGTCTGTTGATTTGTGCCACGCAATATATGAGACTAGAGTCTTCCGAGGAGACCGATGAGGGCTGGAAGACGGCGAACTAGTCAAAACGAGAGAGAAACAGCGCGCATGGTCGCACATGGCCGCACACCTTGTAACGTACACTACTGCACGCTGAAGTCAGTCAGATAGCCTGACTGGCATTCGAAAGTACCAGACGTTGCAATGACGCCGGCCGCACACCTCCGGCAATGGGCTGATTGAAACCATACCCAAACGACCGCTGTTGCAGGGACACTGGCCACACGACTCCGAAAAGAGACTGATTGAAATACGACCCGAACGATAGCTATTGCAGGGCCGCCGGCCACATGATTTCCGGGAAAGGCTGATTGAACTCCGAAATTCCAGCTGTTGCAGGAACGACGGTCACACGACCCCGGCGATAGGTTGATTGCAATTCCCAAAAACCAGACATTGCAGGTGCACGGGCCGTGAAACGTCGTGTATTAGGATACCAATCGATGCGCGCAGCAACAGCTGTGTCAGTCCTCTAGGCAAACCCACTGATCCTAAGCTAGCCGCAAAGAGCGATCCCAGCAGTTAGAAACATTCCGACGACGCCCACAGCTCGATTGCGGCTCTCCGCCGCAGATCTTCCGTTAGAAGTGCCCATGTCAATCGGAGCGCTCGCACGACCGGCACACGACTAGATTTGTGAATCTTCGAGCTGCCCATGTCCGGCAGCGTCTGCACTTCATGAGGACACCACACGCTTCAAAACCAACTTCAGTGTATTGGTCTAGACTTCCTGTCACATCTCCAGGATGTGTGTAGTGCGGTTTCGCCTGGGACACCGCACCATAAAACCGGCGACAACAGAATGAATCCACATCTTGGATGCAGTATAGTTGGTTGGTAGGATAGATTCTTGGGACGTACGGGCATCCGCTGGATCATCCTCGTGAGCTAGGTTCATCGGCAAAACTGCATCTACGCGTAGAATGAGAGCGAGGTAAGCAAGAATCGGGAAAAGATGCGACACCCTATCACACCCAACAAGTAGACCGCATTCACAGATGGATTGCTTCAGAACCGATACGGACATTCATGCCGAAAGGGGGGTGGAGGTGGAACGGTCTTTTTTTACCCTTTCTTCGCTCGTATCGTCCAACGTTCGCATCCTCTCGGTCGAAGAGCAATCGAGCTATGAGATTCGGTCTGAAAGATGTGTGCGATCAGTCTTGTTCTCCTTATGGACTTCAATGACTCGTTGAAAGTGAACGTCAAAGATGCAAACATGACCTCGGACGTCTTAAACTCCTTGTGAAGGCGAATAACGTATGAATGTACTGTACCGGGAACGTTAAGAAACCCCGTCCCTTACCACAACATCAAAATGTGGTTGAAACGAAAGGATTCCTTTGGTATTCCGTGAGGCGGGGTCGTTGTGTTTGAATCCGAGGAGTATATTCATTTCCCCCACATTCGCAAAGTTGGCGTCGGAAAAACAATGGTGTTTTGCACAGCGAGCGGTGTGATGTAGTGACGAACGTCAATAACCGCGGTACGCGCTATTGGCGATGTAGTTCCTGAAAAGCAAGTTAGGTGTTTTGCCAAGGACGTATTACTGCGGTGCATCGGGAGCCACGTTAATCGGACCACGATGTATCGGGATCACTATTGTACCTCCGTCGACTAAGCGAAAGGAAAGTCTGAGTAGACATTTTGACACCCTGACGAAATTCATTCAAGTACGTCTCATAAACGCCCCGCCGAGATCCTCAAACGTGATGAACTTGCAAAAGAGCGACATTCAAATGCGACACGGAAAGTACATGACATGAAGATATTGTCGCGCCAGAACGAGTTCGAGAGTTCTTCTTGATGCATGCCTATAAACAAGTATGGAGAGAGAGAAAAAAGGTGCCCGCAATTAATTGATTGGCCAAAGTTTTGAAAGGACCGTTCCAAAGAAAGGGAACAAATCCGTGGTCGTCCGATGACGTCATCCACGGTCGATATGTCGCCTTTCGGAGAAATTCAAATTTTGAATTTTGGTCGCGGACGACTGAGTGATGATTCCCAAACACGTCTAGCGATAACAGCCGACCACATGTACGTGCCGCAATCGTATCGGACCACACACTCACGCCAGCAACGAGCCTCCATCAAACCCCGTCAGACATCTGGAGTACAGTATCTTGGTGTTGCGTGCACTCTACACCTTCAAACCACCGCACAGCAGTCCATATCTCCGGGGACTGGTTGTCATTTGAAGATACCTCGTCACCAACATACCCACGCGCCCATTGCCCACTACCCCTCTCCCTCTCTTTCGCACATCTCTCTTTCTGTCTTTGGCGCGTTCATAAGACACCTTTGTTTGCAAGTACACCATCAGATCAGTCCACCACCGTGGTTGACGCTCGGGTGAAAAGCGAAAAAATTATGTTGGCTCATTTCAAAAATATGATGGCACGGTCAACCACGGCACGTGTAACATCATCACATACCACCAGCTACCGGTGGTGCTACGTAGAGCAGGTAGACCAGGCCGCACCCCTCGCAAGCAGGAGCAACGGGTGGCGGTACATGGGGCCTGGGAGGGTTACCTTAGGCGCCAGGCAGTCTTTGGCACCGGGTATAGGATTCGTATCTCCTTCCCTTCATCAGCGGGGTCAGGACACAAGCGGTTCAACTCGCACCCTCTCGGAGGAGATCCCAACCTGTACAATTTTCAAACTTGAGCGAGGATGGTGCTTAAAAGGGGCATGGTCCACCCGCGTGACGCCGAGGCTTGGCGCGTAGCCTTTGTTGACGTAGAGGGTGGTGGGCACGGACAGCTGGTTGTTCGGCGGCAGACGAAACATGGCGAGTGATCCTCTGCTGGGTATCACTAGACAAGAGGATCGATGTCGACGCCCAGGGCATCCCGTATTCTCTCGTGGACCTCCAGGTCCGCTCTAGTTTGGACTCGCATAGCCCACGTTTTAGACAATTGAATATTGCGTCCTTCGGACACAGGATAGTGAGGTATGCCCCCAAGACCACGTGCGGCAAAATGTGGCAAGAAAAATGCCCCGGATCCTGTCTCGCCGTCCTCATCGCCGACGTGCGGCGCGACAGCAAATCGAACTGCTACGGGAGAGGAGGAGATTTGGATTCCGCGATGTGCGCCCTGCCGGTGTTTTCGAGATGTCACGCGGGCGTGGTCGACCAAGAAAGGGTGCGCCTGCGCAAAGCAAGAATGCGCTGGATGGTGGAAACTCCTTCCGGAACCTGTACTCGATTCTACTGGAGCGCGATATTGGGGAAGTAGAGTTCGATAGGTGGGTTAGACGGTACGCGAAACCACCCGCCCTGACGTTACGCCATCTCGAAAAATGGCTCAAAATGACCAAGGCCCACGTCGTTGTGTGGTCACACAGGGTACCGGCGCCAACGTTCTCGGACCCTCTGGAGGCAAAACGAAACTCCGACCACCCACACTACACGTCGGGGTTCGGGAGGGACACGTGTAACGGCTGGAACTCGTGGGGGCCGTGGATGGACAGGTTTGGATCATCTGTGGACGTTGCCATCGAAAATGGTATTCGAACCCACCGTAGATCCGTCGGATTGCCGAGGCAGTCGAAGAGAATGACGAAGCGGGCCGCATGGGGTGCGGAAGAAAGACCTACTCGTGCATCGCCCACGCTGTGAGCGATATCATGGCAATCAAACAGACAGGAGGAGGACTACCACCAACAGGCAACACTGGAGAAACGGAAGCGTGCAAAAACAACATCAGAGCTCAAGACGTGGTACGCACCACCGGGAACGGCTCTCGACGAGCTGATGCTCCATTTGCACCTCGCCGGAGTCTCGTGCATAGGTAGGCTCACCAACTGTAGCCACTGGGACTCCCTGTCGTCACCGGCACACGGTATAACCATCCGAACCTGGTGCAGCGCAACCATGGGCGGACTCGATCTTGATGAGATCGATTCCGGCTAGGCGACACGATTGATCGAGTTGCACAACGCACTGGGTCTAAAGTTCTACCGCGGAGTACTGAATATTCGAGTGTCGAGCCAGTACAGCCAGTCTCTTCTCGCCCTCCTAGAGGTATGCTGGCGGGGACCTATCGTCGGGGCAGAGGACGCGAGAGGGAGTTCCTACAGAAGGGAAGACTGGCGATGTGACATCAATGGGGCACACACGGCGGCTCTAATGAGCATGGAGATGGTGCCCGTTTTCGGCCATATGGACGAGGTGGAAGAGTTCGATAGCCACAACATCGAGGATTGGACGCTATTCGTCATCAAGCTGGACAAACTCGATGAGCCAGACGTATTCCTTAACGCGGATGTCACGCCCGTCTCCGGTCGAAACTACAAGCGTTACCTCGACCTCATCGACACCGCGCCTCGCCATAGAGTCACCCACTTCGTGCGGCTATCGAGAACGGTCGACAGGTGTCACATCCCCACCCTGGTGAGAGACCTGCTCGCGCACGAGCTGGGTGATCCCCTCATCGAGGATGTCGACTGTGCACGCCGGTTCAAAAAAGGAATATTCATGCGGGCCAGCGGCATGTTGCAGCAGGGGTACGCGGACAGGATAGATGCCGTCATGGTGACGAGCAATGACGAGGCTTCCGCTCTGGGCGGAAAAATCATGCCTGTCCTATGTGAAGTCATTCGCGCCTCGGCCGAGCTTCGTACGGGACAAGGGGACCTTGGAATCGAGTCACTTCGCACCGGTGATGCGTACCTTTGTGTCGACGCAGAACGGACTTGGAATAGAGATGGCTTCTGGGCGTTAGGTGCGCTCATTCTCGACGATACTCCATTGCGAGTGTTGGAGGAGAGAAACGCTCTCGAATCATGCGGCGCTTCCGACTTTAGCTACCAGTGTGACACAGTATTCTTCAAGGGACCTTGCTCGGTTCGGGAGGAGATGAGACTCCGCTCCAGCCATTTATTCAGCGGCAACGAAAAAACTCCCGGCACGCTTAAGTTCGAACCAGCCTTAAACAACACGCTATGTGGTGAGAGACGGGTATTCGAAGGCATCGTGGTCAAGCAATCGCTAGACGCGTTTCCTTTGGCAACGAGGCAAATTCCCTGCCCACCGAAGACCCATCTGCGGGTCATTCCTCTGTGGGATGGCGTCGGCGCCGTCTTCAATTCGATGGAAGAAGCTCACCACGCCTGGCGTCGTCTCGGGAAGAACATAAAGCGCCATATGTGGCCGGAAATATGCGAGGCCGAGTCACCATCAAAGCTAGAAAGTTTGTTCCGCGGCTTGTTGTCTCCACAAGGTTCAAGGCTCGTCTGTGCGGTGACCGGAGAACATGGAGGGGCAGGGAAAAGCTACTGCACTATCCGCGCTGCTACGGCCACGTTCGAAGGAGGACTAGTCTTGACCCCCACCAATAGCCTGCGCACGTCCTACATAAACCTGTCATCCGGGTGGAGTGTAAACACCGCTGACCACCAGCTCGGATTCTACCTGAGTGATGATTCTTTCGTTAGGAAGACGGCGGGATCCATACGGACGCTCAAGGTCGACGTATTCATCATCGAAGAAGCTGCTTATATACCTCTCCGTACCTTAAGCATGATCCTGGCGGCTGCCCATAGCAGCGGTACCCACGTAATCGGGACATACGACACGCACCAACTCCAGCCCGTTTGCTATAGCAGCGGCATGTCGATTAGCAGGGACAATGTCGACAGGAAGGTCATCCTCGAAAAAGCCTTCCCCATATGATTTCACGTCTTCGCGCGCAAGCGAGACAAAACTATCGAAGATCAGGTGGAAATGGATGACGGCCTCCTGCACATTCTGGCCCCAGGCAACGACAGTCACGAGGCGCAGGCTCGAGTCATAGAGAGGTTAGGCGGGTAGCATATCGACAATCCTAGCCCTTCAGATGTTCACCTCGCGTGCACAAGAGCATGTACTCGATTCCACGTCTTTCGAGGTTTGCTGGGGTGCAACGAAGCAGGGGACTGGGATGGGCTGGGGTGTCAGACCGTTGTCGGTGCGCAATACCGGGACCTCGGGAACCCGGGCAAGGTTCACAAGAATCACATCTACAACGTCCTCCGATCCTCGGCAGATACCGTCGTCGTCGCGAGTGCATTTGACGATGGTGCTAGTCTTGAGGAATTTTCACTCTGTCGAGCGGAGGCAGAAAACGTTGTTGATCCTCTGGGGTCATGCACAGCAGTACACGCAGTCCAAGTCCGTACCGTGGAAGGGAGGTTGATCATACATAAGGCCCGGCACCGTCACGCTGACGTCCACTGGCTGTACACGGCTGTCAGTCGAGCGACCGGACCCTCGAACGTGAGGGGCATCGACGATATTCACCGGAGCGAAAGCGACATGTCCGATCGACAGAGAGTATCGTGGGTTTCTCGGAAGGTGTTAAGCTACATCTATGCCGACGTTGCGGCCGGGCGTCTTGGGCCGGACGAGGGTGTTTCGCTTATGGAGGAAGGCAAGAGCAAGGTGACTCAAATTGTCGCAAGACGGCCGGGCATCTCAAAGCCTACTGAAAGACGTGAGTTTCATTCGTCTTGCCCCTTCATCGTTTGCTTTCGCCAGATCGGAGCGCTTGTCAAGTCCATCATCGACTCAAGCGCTCGGTCTGAATCGCTCTTGTTCTTGCACATGTTTCGGGGGCTTTGCTAGCATATTTTTGCACAAGGGGTTCACTTATTCCGCGCTACTCTCCGAGTCTTCGATAAATTGTGAAATCGGAACATCCCTCGATGCACACTTGGTGGTTGGCCTTCGCAGTCACCACCTCAACATCAACATGAGGAGCACCATGCCACCACTGCGCGAGAGGGACGCTCCCATGAGGAAATTCTTGCGCGCTCCATCTGTCGGAGACCCTTACTTCCCCTTGGCGCAGCCTTGGGTTCTGCGGGCGCCTGACAGGCACCGCTTCCCCGAGCAGCTCCCATCCCTACATGCGGCTGGCGGACGAGGAATTCTACCTGATGGTGCGGTCTCCGAAGCTTCAGGGGGGCAAGATGCATCAGCAGGCTGTACCACATCACTGATTGATGCTGCAAGAAGGGCTGGTGGTGCCGTCGCATCTGCTTGTGGTAATGAGAGTGCATCATCAGCGGGCAATGGTGCTACCAACGATGGCTCCGAGAAACGCGTTAAACCCCAGCACTGCATTTATTTCGGGCACGAGATGCGAATAGGCGGCGTCAAGACGTACCATCCCCAGTTTTTACCAGCACGTCAACCGAAAAAATGCCACGTGCCAGAGCACTCGCGTGGTGTACCTATAAACCCGCAGCAGCAGAATGCCTTGCGGAAGTTTGGCGGGGGATGTGAACTTGTCGTAGACGCAGAACACCCAGGAAGATAAATGATGTTATGGCTGCATTTGCCCGCTTTTCATTCGGAATGCTTGCGCAGGGCGGGGAAGAGTTTGACATCGGTGGTGATCTTGTTTACAGCGCTGTGCATGCTAGACACATGCTTGAGATGAGCTGACATACGTTAGGATGGCCACTCAACGAAGGTGTTTTGTTTTGAGAGCGCAAGTATGAAGCAAGAAAACAGACAGCCCCGAACGAATGACTTTTCGGAAACCTCCTCTGGGTTTTCCGGATGGTGTTTCGAGGAAGGATGTCAAATCAGTTGTCGAAAAACTTCAAGGGCAAGGTCATCTGACATGAGTCGAACATTCAGTGCTGAGCTTTGCATTGTTTCAAGCCGCTTCCGACGAAAAGACCTTGTCCCCGCGAAAGCCCCGATAAAAATGCAGAGAAGAGCACTCCGAAGTACTTTCGATCGGTTTCCAATGAGCCAGAACCAAAAGTCAACTTTTCCGGAGTGCGATCCTCCACAACAACGGCTGGAGAGGACAATTGGACTTTTCAAGTGGCACCCCGAATGTGGAGATGCTCACACACTGTTAATAGCCACACGAGTACCCTGTTGGGAGGATACGAGGCTCCGACGTGGAATTCCGACAGTTTCGGCGCTGCGCGCCGACGTCTATTTCCAATTTTTTGGCGCTGCACGCAAAATTCACTTTGATTCCGGCCCCAGGTCAGACCATGAAAGTGCGGCCAATCTTCATTTCACGTGCGTGCCTGCGTGTGGGCTACGGCAGTACAGCAGTACCACTCGCGGTTGTACGGACAGCTTGATCTGTTCCACGAGGAATCTATGGTAGCTGCTGCTGGTGATGGAATGCTGTGGTGTAACAGCAGCAGGAGTCGAAGACGACCATGCCGTCTCCGTGTTAACAACACCGTGCCAATGCCAACTTATCCTTTCACTATTTGTTCTTCGCCCGAGGGCACAACCCCAGTCAGTGGATGGTGTTGGCGACATCGATCTGTCGTCGTGTGGGTGCGATAAGGTCACAAGAGGATAGATGATTCATTGTCGACCGTATTCCTTCCGCCGCCTCAATCGCTGCTTGATGCGGTGTGGTGTGTGTGTGGTCCTTACTGACCCCCGGCGCCCGCCGAGAGACCAAACTGCCGTTGACGGTGGCAAAAGTCATCGAGTGAATCATTCTGTGTTTCGATACGATTTCGTACATCAATCAAACCAGTCACTCGAACTCATCCAAGGTAAATTTGAATTATTATTATTGTTATTTTGTTTGCCCTCCGACAATTGCAGATAAATGCAGACATACATAGAAAGTCGATCGTAAAGGCCGTCATGCCAAGCCAAATTAACTCGATGCCCAATAGCTAGGAATGCCTCTACGTCAACAAAACTTTGGTTGAAACATTACAGCTGAACTCTAGGCACGAACCTTAGATGGAGAAAAAGGAACAAAATCCCAACCTCATCCACCCGAAATCAAACACAACTCGGCCCCGTCTTCCCTGGTACCCCTGCCACCGTACCGAGAAGAAATCTTTGAGTGGATGTTCAAGGGCGAGGTATCGACCGTGGGTGACGTCACCGGTCGACCATGGAATTCTTGGAACGTCCCTTTAAAAAAATTGGCCAATCAATTAATTGCGGGCACCCTTTCTCTCTCTCTCTGTGCCCCACAATTTCAAAAGGTGGATTCTGAACATTGACACATATGTTGCGCTTGGACCGTTACGCTGGCACACACCAGTCGTTCGTCTCCAAAACATCGGAAAAGAACCGCGCGATCATCGTAACAAACGTTCACAGCAGGCTCATCCCACGACGTGTCACACGTCGCAGCGAACTTGGCCAGGCGACCCCGTCAAGAGGCTGATTGAACATCCGCCCGAACGATAGCCGTTGCAGGGTCGTCGGCCACGCGACTCCGGATATGGGCTGATTGAAATGCGACCCGAAAGATAGCCAGTGCAGGGACGCCGGCCACACGACGGCGGCGATAGGCTGATTGAACCTTGCCCCGAACGATAGCCGTTGAAGGGACGCCGGCCACACGACTCCAGCAAGAGGATGATTGAAATCTACCCCGAACGAAAGCTCCTGCAGGGACGTCGGCCACACAACTCCTCCAATAGGCTGATTGAAATTTGACCCGAACGAAAGCTCCTGCAGGGACGTCGGCCACCCGACTCCCACAATAGGTTGATTGAAAGCTGCCCCCAACAATAGCCGTTGCAGGGACGCCGGCCACACGACTCCTGCAAGAGGATGATCATAATTACCCAGTGCCAGATATTGCAGGGACGCCGGCCACATGACTCTGGCAATAGGCTGATCGAAGCAGAAGCCGAACGATAGCCATTGCAGGGACGCCGGCCACATGACTCCGGCTATAGGCTGGTCGAAATCCGACCCGAACGATAGCCGTTCAAGGGACGTCGGCCACACAACTCCGGCAATAGGTTGATTGAAATTTGACCAGAACGATAGGTGTTGCAGGGACGTCGGCCACACAACTCCGGCAATAGGTTGATTGAACCACCCGAACGATAGGTGTTGCAGGGACGTCGGCCACACAACTCCGGCAATAGGTTGATTGAACCACCCGAACGATAGGTGTTGCAGGGACGTCGGCCACACAACTCCGGCAATAGGTTGATTGAACGTCGACCCGAACGATAGGTGTTGCAGGGACGTCGGCCACACAACTCCGGCAAGAGGCTGATTGAACGTCCGCCCGAACGATAGCTGTTGCAGGGACGCTGGCCACACGACTCCGACAAGAGGCTGGTTAAAATCTGACCCCAACGATAGCTGTTGCACGGACGACGGCCATACGACCCCGGCTACAGACTGATTGAAATTCCCAAGTTCCAGACGGTGCAAGCGCATGGGCCACGAAGCGTCGTGTATTGGGATACCAATCGATGCGTGCAGCAACAGCTGTGTCATCCCGCGGGGCCAAACCACTGATCTTAAGCTAGCCGCACACAACGATCCTAGCAGCTCGAGACGTTCTGACGACGTCCACAGCTCGATTGCGGCTCTCCGCAGCAGAACTTCCATTGGGAGTGCCCATGACAATCTGAGAGCTCGCACGACCGGCACACGACTAGATGAGCGAATCTTCGAGCTGCGTTTGTCCGGCCCCGTCTGTACTCCATGAGGACACCATACGCTTCTGGGAGTCTCATCCTCTACACGCACGTGCAAGGTCGACATACTTCGGCACGCCCTGCAGATATCCAACGAGGCCAGCTGCAGCTCCAGCGTTGACGCATACCAGCGCTTAATTCCTCCTTCGCATGCTTGGCTCAAGGCGACGACGAAGGCATCGAAGCACTGGGTTTGCCCTAGAAACAACCGTCACAGAGCAAAATCGAACGAGTATGTATCGTAAAAGAATGATGGGACTTGCGACGGTTTCGTATGTCGATACCACACCCGGGGGATATCGATCGGGGACAGGGACAATCATGGGACGAGAAGAAATGCCCTGCTCCCATGGGCTATGCCACGCGAGGGATCGATACTCGGTTGTAGTTTCCGGAAACACGCCCACAACAACTGCATCCGAAGTGGCAAAGACATCGGAACCTTGTGGGTAACGCTAACCCTAAGATTGTTCATTTGGTTCTCTTGGGGGAAATGGCTGCACGGGGAAAATCAGACAAAATCTCTTGCCAGGATTCACGGGCAGAGGGTCCCTTCAGGTTGAACTCCACATCGCCGGCCTTCTCGGTCCCGACCAGGCCAGTTGGCCGACGGTGACCATGTCTTGACTTCTGTGAACCGTGATCAAGAAGCACCACGTTTATCCCGGTCGCGTGGCGCTCGGGTACGAGCATTCCTTCAAGCACTTAAGGGTGGACCTACAGGATACCTATATTGAAATGACGCATGCGTGTAGACGTATCATTTCCGTTACTTTCGTGCTTCGGCACATCTTTCTCCAACGGAAGGAAAGTATTCGCCACGCTCGCTTCTCAGGAGCATGGAGGGTGCTCATCAATACACTGCCGCGCATACCCGAGAACCGCCAGGCATCCGTGGCACGTGCAATCGACACCTAAAGTCGCCAAGACCGGCTCTGTTTCGCAAGGGTGCATTCCGGACCTAAAGAAGCTCCGCAGGAAATACTAATTTCTTCGCACAAGCAGCAATACTTTTGAATCCTACCCAGCACAACATTCTCGTTCACAGGCAGTACGACAACAAACCAGATGGCGATCCAACGCAGCGGGTTACAGCAGTAGGATCTGCCGTACAGACGCCGCTTACAAAGCACGCCCTCACGCACGCACCAAAAGTCACGTTTGAGTAAAATCGTTTGCTCGTGTTATTGACGGGAAACGAGATATGTCTTGCGGTTGGCACAGAAACCGGCACTACTGAACAACGCGATACCACACAACCGTGATAACAAAGGCAGTGGCCTCATGCATCGCCTCCGCGAGGAAAGTTACCAAACTCCTTTTGGGAGCCATGTACCGAAAAATTTACTGCAAACGCCTGGGTCGGCCAGAAACGAACACCAAATGGTGAAGGACTTCAATCTTGGGACACGCAGCTCCCGGGTTGTGATTTTTCGCCTGATATCCTGTGGCTGCCAGCCGCCGCGCGAGTGTTCATCGAAAGCTCCGATCGTTATGGTACTGTGGCTGCCGCCGTTTCTACCGTTGTTCTTGTTCTGTTAACACCAAAGAAATCTCCATCAACTCCAAATCAAGTACCGCCTTCGTGACTCTTCATGCTACAGAATTGGCCCGGAGATAAGAACCGTCAAATTTGGGTCGAGCCTCAATTTCTTATTTTCGCCCGAAGGACCAGCCGAAGACGGCCAATTTCTCAAAACGGGTTCCTTAATTTCTTTGAGCTATCGCATCATCCTCCTGCTCTCTTTTTTCGTATTTCCTATTTTCTGGCGAAGAAACCAACAACACACCAAGCCGTTTCATGCAGCATTATACATCGACAACAGCCTGGGGGTAGCCCCGGCCTCAACTACAGCCTTTTTGTCTGTTTCTTGTCCCGCGGCGGAAGTTGTACTGCTTGAAAACGGAAGCGGCAGTGGGAGAAATTTGGGGGTGTGCCAACTCCCGAGGTATTGTCGGAGGTTCGAGATCGGGGTACGGTATACAGAAAGAAGCCGATTGTGTGCGGAGAAGGTCAGACGCCGACCTGTCGTGCTTGGGGTGACGGCGCGTGCACTGCGTGATGAATCTAGTGGGCTCTTGGCGAGAGCGTGTTACACATGGGATTGACTCAAGTCCCTCGTACGCATTGCGGAACGACTTGCCCGCGCAGCTGTTAGCCCGGCCTGGCGCGTACCGCCTCCCAGGCGTAAAACGAAGTCGCAAGGGAAAGGATTGGTGCCGGAGGTCGTTCCGGACGCAAAGAAGTGGGTCGTCGTTGGGGTTAACTCAGCATTTCGTCGGGCCGGCAGTTTTGTGTGAGGAGTTATTCTCTTCATAACCGGACTGCACGGTAAGAGGGAAAGGAGAGCCGCGAAGGCGACAAGCCGGGCGTACATTATGCGTGCAATCTGAAGTGTGCGAGAAGGGAGGAGGTCAGCAAGGCATGTGACCTTTTCACTCACCATGGTTATTGGCAGTCAGTCGTGCTGGGTATGTATTCCGTCAAAACAGCAGTTGAGACCCATAGAGGTACGACGAAGGTTGGTACGCTAACCTAACGTTGTGGTCGACAGTTTGGAAGGACAAATATTACGTTGTTGCAGAGTATTGGCTGGCTGTGGTCGACAGTCTGAGAGAAAAAAATGACGTGGTGTGGGGTGCGTCGTAGATGACGTGGGGGTGTTGCTCTGCGTATGGTGTGTGTGCTATGTGCTCTGCCCTTGTATGGTTCTCAGTCAGCACTTACTGCAGTGTTTTGATGTGCGTCCACCCGGTATTGTTGTCGGGGCGTAGCGTGCTAATATTGTCGGCGGCGTTGTGTAGACTATGCATCTCGTCGAAAGAGCAGCACAATGGAGGCCAATGGTTGGAACGGTCCGTAGTAAATTGTGCACAAGCACCCTTTGCTGGTCGGTGCACGTTCCTCAGGAGGAGTTGGGAGAAGTGGATGTAACATCTGCTCTGCCCTTCCCTGCCCCGTTCTTGAGGAGAAAGTGTAAGTAACATCTGCTCTGCCCGTCCCTGCCTTGCAAAAACAACCCACAAACTAACGCTCCACGAATTGTTCTGGGGAGATACATGTATGTATGCCTGACGCAGTCGATTGCGGTGCAAACCGGCCACCTGCATCGTCGACCTGAGGCTGACTATTCGCGTCGTGTGGGGTGCGGCGTTGTTGCCGGCATGTGGGGGTCCTCTAGCAAGCAGTCGATTGCGGTGCAAACCGGCCACCTGCATCGTCGACCTGAACGTGACTGTTCCCGTCTGCTCTGCCCCTCCCTGCCTCGCAGCAAGCCCCACAAACTAACGCTCCACGCATGGTTCTCGAAATAGATGTATGTATGCTTGACGAGGTCGATTGCGGTGCAAAGCGGCCACCTGCATCGTCGACCTGGGGCTGACTATTCGCGTCGTGTGGGGTGCGGCGTTGTTGACGGCATGTGGGGGTCCTCTAGCAAG